GTTGACCGCTTTTCTAAGTCTGCCCGCTTCATTCCCCTACCCAAACTCCCCTCCTCTCTGGAAACGGCCCGCCTGCTTATCGACCACGTCTTCCGCCTCCATGGAATCCCTCTGGACATTGTCTCAAACCGGGGACCCCAGTTCACATCCCAGGTCTGGAAATCCTTCTGCCGTGCCTTTGGTTCCACTGCCAGTTTCTCCTCGGGCTATCACCCCCAAACCAACGGACAGACCGAGTGGGCCAACCAGGACCTGGGGGCGGCACTCAGGTGCGTGGTGTACCACAGCCCCACCTCCTGGAGTTCCTACATCCCCTGGATTGAGTACGCTCACAACTCCCAGGTCAGCGCTGCCACTGGTATGTCCCCCTTCATGTACGCCTTGGGTTACCAGCCCCCCCGTTCCTGTCCCTGGAGGAGGAGGTGGCAGTCCCCTCTGTACAGGCCCACCTCAGGTGTTGCCGCCGGATCTGGAGGGAGGCCAGGGCCGCCCTTCTCCACACCGCGGCCCACAACCGCCAGCTGGCAGACTGCCACCGGGCCCCTGCACCCACCTACCGGCTTGGGCAGCGAGTCTGGCTCTCCTTCAGGGACCTTCCCCTGCAGGTCCCTTCCAAAAAGCTCTCCCCCCGATTCATCGGCCCCTATCCCATTGAGGCCATCGTTAACCCCTCGCAGTATGCTTAACCCTCCCGTCTCAACTGAAAGTCCACCCTGTTTTCCACGTCTCCAGAATCCATCCTGTCGCCACCAGCTCCCTCTCCGTACCAGCGGCAGCGCCTCCCCCTCCACGGATGATTGATGGTCACCCCGCCTACACGGTGCGCTGGCTCCTGGACGTGCGGCGTAGAGGTCGGGGGTACCGCTACCTGGTGGACTGGGCCGGTTACGGCCCGGAGGAGCGCTCCTGGGTTCCCTCCTGCCAGATCCTGGACGTCCGTTGAGGGGGGGGGGGGGACGGTGCCCGGCTGACGGTGAGTGCCTTGGTTTGCTTTTTTTCCCCCGCTTTATTTCACCCATTGTTTTGCTCTGCCTGCCTCCCTGTGTTCTCCTCCTCTCTCCCTCTGCTCCTGAGCCCAGCCAACTACCCGCACCTGCACCTCATTAGCCACCTCGTCAGCCTGCCACACCTGCCTGTAATCAACCTCATTCCTGCCTGTATTTTTTATGTTTTTTTCTCCACACCATCCTCGCTTGATCGTCATTGCTTGTTCTGAGGGAGTGTATGACTGATTGATAAAGCCAATCATATTAAAACGGGCCTGCCCCACCCCTGTCTGGGTCAGTAACCACGCATTATGGGCCAGTCGATCGAGGAACATACCAATAGATTTTCAGTGGTTTATTGGCCCAGTTTCCCAGCGGCCCACAGGGGAAACTCCCGGTACTCTGCCTTGCCACTTAGCTCTGTTCTGGTCACTACCAACTCCTCAAAACAAATATCTGGCTCCTTAGCCTGCTAGATGTTTGACTTTCTTCACCAGCTGCTCTAGCTTTGTCCATCTGCTGGGAAGATACAGTACAGTTGGCTTTTTTTCTAAAAATGGCTGCCTATGGGAAATTGATGAGAGCTGTTCAAACTTGACCCTACAGTAAATATAAACAGGTATAACAGATGGAAGAGAACACACCAAAAAGAAAAAAAACATTTAACACCTCCACGATCTCCAAACTCAGACCACGAGACATTACAAGGTATCTGCTAGACTGTGTTTAAACCAAATGGCAAGAAATGTGTTTAGCTGTGCTAAAAGATTCCGTGAAGAACTATTGACAAGAAAATGCTACTTAGTACTTCTATTAATTTGTATTAAACCCTCTAAAAATTTGGACGCTGTCATCGTTGGTTATTATTATAGATTTGATCTGGGGATGCAGTAGCGCACAGAAAAAGGATATTGGAGAATGTGCTTAACAGTTCACAATTTAATTGTTATAGGCTGACAACCTCCTTGTAGAATCAAAGGACACTGAAGGTTTGAGATAATAAAACACAAATACAAGCAGATGCTTGCCGACACGGTGGTAACTACAAAGCCACACTGTCGCCTCAAGTAACAGAGATGAGTAACATTTAACTACAAACTGCTGTCTGATCCTGGGGTTCCTTAGACAAAATCTTACTAACTAGTGGTTCATGGCCTGATAGCTACCCAGGAACCCCTTCATGAAAAAGTTAGGGAACCCCTCCTGTGTGTAGGTGGTGTTAATGTAGCTTTCAGTCGCAGTGGCAGTTTTTTTTTCTGCTGCTTTGCACTTCCCTTTTGTAATTTAATCAGCAGCCTTTCTGCGTCTCAAGCTCCACCTTTGGCAAGCCAACATGGCAATTAATTGGCTTATTAAATCCCTCCGCAATGCCCTATCAGCAAAACTATCAAAGACTAATCCTCCCTTTGTACTACAATAGTGTATGCAGGGATAGAGCAGAGTAGCATTTGCTGGAGCAGCTGACTTAATCAGGACTGAGAGTTGTCAGTAAGACAAAGTTATTGTGCTGTGAAGGCTGGGTGCAAGTAAGAGGCATGGATTACAGCTGTTACTGCAGTCCAGGTGTATTTACATGCCTAATTTGGAAAGTGTGTGTGTGTGAGAGAGAGCCAGGGAGATATGGTGCACCAAACACAGCATACTGTGTATGCACAAAATGCAGAATTTGAAATCCATCCAGGTGAGCCTGTTACCAAGAGTAGAAGAATGTTTTGCCTCAATCACCTCCTTTCATTAAAAACAAGCTGCAGTCAAACCCACAGACATCCTGAAAACTGTGTGTGTGTGTGTGTGTAGGTGTGTATGTGTGCCTTGGGGAGGGCTAATTGAAGCTAATTTGTAGCTTTACAATGACTTAGCTTAGCTAACTTAATGACTGTCAGGTCTGATTCCCCAACATTGTCATTTCAGAGAAAGAGCAGCCAATATTATCTATCTCTGTCTTACCCAATGCCCAGTTCGCACATGCGCTAACTCGCAAAGATTTGCACACAAAGATTCACACACACCTGCTGCACACCAATTACTATACTTCAGTCCCGCACACCTTTCTATTTGCTGTGTCATACTTTTACAACACTTTAGAAGTTTTCCGTTCCCTCTGTCGTCAACCAAGGATGCAAACAAGGTGACTAGCACATCATCATCAAACCATCTGGTATGTGATAAACAGAAAAAAAAACACACCCACACACACTCTCACTAACACATGGACAGACATTCAGTACACCCACTCTCTCTCGATACAGTTTATGTTGTTACAGTTCAGACAGTTGTGGGTAATCCCAATTCAGTAGCAGCAGGAAGTGAAAACTTCTCAATGTGACCCCCCTGTGTGTGGAAAGGATCATTCCTGACTATTGGCTCTATCTCTCTGCCTGACTGCTCCTGTTGATGAGCAACAACCGTAGCCATGGGGAGCAAAAACTGCCATCTCTTTTGCCGTTTCCTCCCCTCTGATTCCTGGAGTGTCTTTAACGCAGCCACAGAGGCAAAGTGCCACTCGGTGGTGTGCATCTTCAACTTTCTCTCCCTCTCTCCTTCGAAACATCTTCCAGCTCTCTGAGAGGGCATTGATTCTTCTCCAGGGAGGGAAGATGTGTCACCCTGCACGGATTGGATTGATAACGCTGGGCTAAATATAGCCCTGCGGCAGGCAGGACGGTAGAGGATATTTTTAGATGTGTTTATAGTGCCGCGACTCGGACACTACCTCAGCTGAATGACCAAATGGAAGTAAGGAAGGGGTGGGGGGTACTGTGACTCTCTCATTGAGAGATTACTGCACTTAGTGGGATTGTCAAAAAATCTGAGTGGATGAGTGCACTGTCTGTCCAGTTCAAAATGATCATCAGTTATGTTTAAAAATATGCTAGTCAAAATTAGTCCTCTAAAACATTTTCTGTTGACGTAAGCTTAGATTGAGTGGTTTCTTTGGCTCCATTGGCTGATTTGAGTAATGTATTGGCTTTCCGTTTACAACAGTCTCTAATCCATACAGCACACTCTCTGCTTAGAGCACTCTGAGAGTCTCACAGTCCTCTCTCCCAATGTGCTGAAGTGCTCACTTTATTTCGGCTGCAGGCGGTACTTACATGATGCTATCGGATATCACAATGTTGTATATTGAGCAGCATTGTTACAGAATCTATTTTTCCCTGCTTTTGCAATATAGATTTAATAAGCATGCTTTCTTTTTATTTTTCTCTTTCATATACCCTTCAGCGTACATAAAAAAATAAAACACGAGACACTTCTGTGTAAAGTGCTGACTCTCTCTGAATTGATCCCAGAGGTGCTGTGGGGTCTCCCACAGAGGCGATCATGGGCCTGAGCTAAATGCTAACACTTTACAGAACTGAAACCTATGCAAAATCGAAGCAAATAACCACATTGATCTCTGATCTTTTATTCTCATATTGCCAAAGCTTCCCCTCCAGCGCAGATCATTTACGGAGTTAATTGATTTGTCCTGCTGTGCGAGCCCTTTCTGTTGCCAGCCACATGCTGAGCCATAGGACATGTTCACATTGTAATATCCAGGACAGCAACAAACAAAACAGTGTCTTTTAGATCAATCAGAAATCCAGCTGAGATGAACAGATCTTTGCTTCCTTGTCTATTCAACGGCGATGCCTGTAGAAAAAGAATGCTTTGTCGTGTACAACACAGACTTAAGTTTTGGAACAGATGTTTCTCTCTGTGCTGCAGTGCCTCACTTCCCCTTCTTGTGAATTTTACATTATGGTGAATCATTTCTTCAACTGCTTGTCTTCATCTTGTGCCTCCATCCAAATCACCATATTCTCCTTTCACCAAAACCACCCAAATACCCATCATCTAGCCATGCACGGTTTCTCCAGTCAAATGGCATCAAAAATAATGTGCAGGCAGGTTTTTATGATGGGTAAAATTAGCAGCTGTAGTGTTTGACTAGAAAACATGCATAACCATGTGTATTACCACTTGAGAGACACAACCCTATTGACACATGGCCAAATAAGCCAAACTCACCTGTAGATAGTGACAGGGCCTGAGGTTGGGCTTGAGGTCGGTGGGCGTCATGGGCTTTTCCAGGTTGAGAGAGGACTTCCTGTAGGCCTCCTTGGCTTGGCTGACCGTTAGCGTTGACCAGGAGCTCCTCTTCATGAACTTTCCCTCTGGTGCCATGCTTATGCTCTCGCAGGCTGAGCACTTGACATCGTTGTTACTCTTGGATGTCTTCAGCGACAGGTCTCCAGCCAGGTGGCCATGCATTGAGTCAGGGTAGCAGTGGCTGATGTGGTCCATAGGATGCCGTGACATGACGCTGGGTGTTCTGTATGTGCTGTCACTATCCAGGTTGTCATCCGAACTCCACCAGCCTCCCGAGCGCTGCTTGCCGCTACCGTCAGATTTGCGTTCTTTGCTCTTGCTGCGTTTGCTGTGTTTGTGGTGGCCTTGGTGGTGGTGATGGTGGTGGTGAGAGTTGTCCCGGTGCGAGTCGCTTTTGGTACCGTTCATTTTGGAGGAACCTTCTAGAGAGTGTGACTTTGTGAAAAGCTTTTGTACCGAATGGACTAAGTGACGTATTCGCCCAGGGCTTTCATTACGCTGCTCTGTAGTTGTGGTTGTGGTGGAGGTGCGTTGGTATTGCAGTGTGTGGAAGCCATCCCGGTGCAGCGGCATCTGCTTCTCAAATTGGTCCAGGAGGTTTGCTGGGATTCGGTTCATTTTGCCACTGCCACCGTGCGAGGATGAGCCACCGTCCTCTCTGGATTCCCTGCCACCAGAAGTGTTGCCACCGCTGTCCCGCGAGGCGCTGCCGTAGTGCATGCGGGGGAAAGTGCTACTAGATATGGAGTGGTCAGTGGCCGACATGGACACTGGCATCACCATGCACTCAGAGTGGATGGAGCTCCGTGGGGAGCAGCGGTGGTGACTCTCAAGGGGACAGCTTTCAGTGGGGCTGAGGAGGTAGGAGGGGGGGCGTGAATTGCCATGGTGGAGGTGATGATCCAGGGAATGGTCGCATTCAGCCAAGCCGCAGGTGTGGGCTGAGGTGAGTTGGAGCTGGGCAGGGCGGCCGCCAGAGAGACCCTTCATGTTCCTGGGTGGAGGGGAGTAGCTGTCCTCATCGAAGTACTGCGAGGGCGACCATGAATACTGCTGGTCTGAAAGAGAGAGAGAGAATATTAAATCACACCCAAAGAAAAACACATTTTCCTAGAAAAAGAAATGCATTTCACACTTAATGATGAGGGGGAAAAAGCCTAGTACCAAATGACATGTCCTCCAATAGGTCATTATTCACCATACTCTCACTCTCCACATCTACTTCAACTACAAAGGACACTCAAAAAAACTCAAAAGGTAGCACATCCAAAATGTGGAAGTGAAATCCACAAACAAAATCTCAGTTGTCCTATTTTTCCCCTTCTCTTCAGGTCTGTGGCATACTGCGAGAGAGAAAAAAAAAAAGAGAGAATGAAAGAACGAGAAAGGCAGGAGACAGGTAGGAGCTCGCACTGCCATTTATCCAATGCAAAGTGAAATAATAGCCTATCACTCCATGGTGCTGGTGTCATCCGTCAAAGCCCTGAGGAGAGCGCTGTGAGGCGTACGGCCAGATAGGCGTCCTTGGGAGACAATCACGAAATGCACCTTCTCTGCTTTTCTTTCTGTTGGCCATGTATTCTTAGATTAAAACCCAATTCTGAGTGATCGGTTACCAAGGGTAGACGTCCCACCACTCTATTCCAATGTCTTTAACTTAATCAGAGGATAGGTTTACTTTATCTTTAGGCCTCACCACCATCTGCGGTCACTGTAATTACAATGCCCTACCTTTGAATCACTTCAGGACAATGGAGGTTAAAATTCCACATGGGACAGTAAGCATGCTACATGTTATGTCATGAATGACCCCCTAAATATTAAACTTGATCCTCTGCCTTAATGTGGCTTTATCTTGGAAACAATTAAAGTGTAGAACAGATCCCAAAATCTGAAGTACTTCATATCTTCATATCATATATTTAGTGTACGAGATTACAACTAGCTTATGAGTGCTAATTAAGTAAAACTGTATAACTAAGTGTAGAATCTTATCATTTCTAATTAGCTTTGCTTCATAAAATAAACATTTTGTCCGCCCTCTGTTTTTGATTTTCCTCATCACCATGGTTCTCCAAAAGCTTGCCTGGGTCATATTTCAGACTTATCTGCACAGTGTGAAATAGGAAATAAACAAACAAACAAAGAATAGCTATATCTAAGCTCACTTGCCTGCTAATGATACGCCTCATAAAGCCATGCACTTTCACTCCCACAGTAACCCCATAAAATAAAGGAGAGTTTTTATGAGCTACTAGGAGAGAGAGATAGACGAGGTTTTAGGCCAAATTGTAGCACTTTTAAAGTATATTAATGTATTAACAAATCAATCAATTCTTAAAAGATTCTGATCTTAATTCTCATATCTTGACATAAATACCATAAACAAAAAGGATAACTGGGCTGGGGTCTGAGGACCCTGTTGTTTGTGGAGGAAAAACACCTTCACTTAGCACATTCAGGTGCTCCAATGACCAGAATTATATAAGTATATATATAAGTACTAATGAGTGAAATGCCAGCAGGGTGCCACAACCTTGTGGCTGCACAAATTGTTCTTACTGCTAGGTTGGAGTTAAATGTGATTGTCCATCTCATACCGATGCTATTTTTAGTGCTGTTAATTAATTATGACCACATTTTCCCTTAAGACATCTGCTTCCTTCCTTTTCTTTTCTCAAAATGTCTTAAAATAAAATCAGGGAAATGAAGGTCTTAAATTGTCTTAAATTTACGTAAATTTGCTGTAGGTATTAAATTTGCAGATGGTGCGTTTAAGGCCAGTGGTAAAATTGTCACGCACAAAAACCTAAAATGCCTAATTAGCGTGTATTTGTATGATTTTCTTTTAGTAATGTGAGACCCCGCCATTAATATAACTCACATGTTACGTTTAGGTTAGCTGCAGACGTTGATGTCTGGCTGCCTGGCCAAAAATAGTCAAATCTTTTTTTAATCATTATTTTTATTATTATAAGTTTAAAGGCTGATTTGTTGCTCTTGAAGAAACCAGATGGTTAATTGTGCTTTTAAACTTTTCTTTGCAGTCAGAACATGACAAACACTTGATGCCAAACAGCAGCCTGGTATCAAACAGTGGATCACTTCACAAAGCTGAGGTAAAAAATTCGAAACAACAAATATGCACGAGAAAAGTAAAATCTTTTTTCAGTCCCTTTTCCTCAACATAATAAAGTGAGTAAATCAAATATTTATTGAACATTTGTTATTGAGGAAGATTGTATCATGATAAGTACCATTATTGTTTTATTGCCCAGCCCAACTAAAAACCTGAGCATGATCAATAATTGGCACTGTTTGAGCACGTTTATGCACAACACTGAATGGATACACTGTCTAGGCTCTTGTCTGCGTTGTCAAACCTTTGGATTTTATTTGCAGAAGACTGCGGCCGATACATATTTCCGCCCAAGTAGCTGCTGTTTTTGTGGTTATCAAGGCATTTGCATCCATGTGGTCATGGTGTATCCTGACCACCTCCAGAGGTCGTTTTGCTGATTGGATAACAATCTGTTCTCAATGTGTCTCGGGTGCATTTACACCTGTACTTTCATGTGGTTAAGTGCTACCCAGTCACAATCTGATCACCCAAAATACATTTTAATGCCAGGTGAATACAGCATCTATGTTCCTGATTTGGAATATGCCAAGTCTTTCAAATGTGGTGAAAAGAAAACTGCCAAATGTGGCATTGCGTCGTTAATTAAGAGATCAAACGCGCATCTCTCTTTCTTTTTTTTTTTTGATTTGAGGTCTTAAATTTATATTTGTTGAGGTCTTAAGGTGTCTTTAAAAGCATTAAATTTGACTTTTAAAATGGTGCAAGAACCCTGACTTGTACCTCCTCCCCTGGTACCCCAGGCCCTCATTGCCATTTTCCATTGATCAACCAGATGCCCTCGGACTTTCCCTCCTTGTTACCCAATCAGCAGCCACAAGTATGTAAACACAGCCGGCTTAAAAAGGCAAATCAACGTACTACATTTTGTCAGGCCTGAACTCGGCCCTGGACTTCCCTGCTCACCTGTTTCCATTCTCCCTCGTCAGCTCCTTTCCACTCACTCCTTGCCAGATCAGATCATAGCTACGTTTCTCACAAGGGCATTTTAAGGGATAGCTACCAAACAGTATACACAGTGTGGACATATCTGTGATGACTGATGTTAATATGCACACACTCTCTCTCAACCCTTCCAGCAACTATTCAGTAATTAATTTAAAACAGATTTTTTGATGTCTGAATATTTATTGTGTGCTTCTACATACTAATACAACTGTATAAGCTTCACTTTAGTATACATACAAGTTACAAACCAGATAGTGTGCTGTGTGAAGTTCCTCTGGGTCCTGTCCCTGCACCAAGAAAATGTTTGTCTCTGGGTATACTGAGGATTTTCAACTCAATTATTTTGTTAATTGCTCTGAGAATTTCTCATTCACAAATCACAAAACCTGTCCACGATCACGAGAAATACTTACTGTGCTGTATGTGAATTGTGACTAAGGATTAAGGGTGGATGTTCCTTTTCATCTTTCAAATTGGATAAAATTTATTCCATTCAAACTTATTTTTAATGAGGTCTAAGATCTCAACCCCTGAGGTGCAGCCTTGCTCTTCTGTTGCTGTCGTCCTCCATCTGTTGAGATGAAAACAAATTCTCCTTGTTTACCAGTCTTGCATGAGGATGTCTACTCGGCAGCCTGTTGTAAAATTAATCCAGGCTACTCTAAGCATGCATGGAGGGGTGGAAAAGGATAAGACATTTTCCCTCAGGAAGGACTGTTTTTGTAAGGCTGCACATAACAGAGCTGAAAATGCCTATAAAAAAACATTACTACTAAGTACAAATCAACAGGCTGAATTAGGTGAACTTGCTTGGCCTAAGTCAATCCAGTTCATTGCTCACTAGTCATTGCGGCAGAAGGATGAGGGTGCATTATTGATAGATGTGATGCTACATTTCTGTCTGAAGTTATGTCACTGTCTTACTCTAAGGCCTTTCTCTGATGTCTCTCAGGGAGCTGCACTGAATACATTATCTAGCAGCAGAGTTATGGCATTTCCTGGGATTATACAGCAGATGACAGACTCATCCGCCCTCCATCTCTCTCTCTTTTCTAACCTTGTCTTCTGCTGATACAGAATGGAACTTTTGTTAAAGTAAAGAAAAAAGTAGACGCACAAAGTTCTACAAAATATCTTGAAGGTTATTTAACATGAACACGATGCGGCTTGAGGGAAAGCAGCTCTCTCACTGAGAGCGCATCCTTCTGGCAAGTGCTCTGCAAACAGGGAGACAAGTATCTGTGACATCTGTGGAAAGGGAGAGGGCTTGTTGTTTTTACACTGATACCAGCACCTGCCATCACATTATCAGCTTCTTGGCAAGGGTGCCAACTGCTTGAATGGACTGCTAGGATGGAGGGTGAATTTAGAAAGTGGATGGCAATTAAATTTCAGCAACATTTTCGTTTAATGTTGGGCTATCGTGCTTTTAAATGTTGATGAGGTAATGATAATAATGATGCATATGAAGATGAATAACAATATTTTTATGAAAGGAAAAGGCAGGGATTCTTAATGCTGTCTTTATGCTAAAGGCTAAACCAATTCACCAGACACACAGACTTTTTCACTGCAATGTTAAGAAGCCCTTTTTTGATAAACAGACATTTCCCGAGTTAAAAGCCCCAATCATATTCAACTCTTTGCACATTCTGCAATCGTCCAATCATGTCTAACTTGAAGGTTCAGTGTGTAATATTTATGAGGATCTAGTGACAGAAATTCAATATAAGATCCTTAACTATGTTTTCAGTGGTGTATAAAGACCTTACATAATGAACCATTATGTTTTTATTACCTTAGAATGAGACATTTCTATCTACATAACCGCGGGTTCCGTCTTCCATGGACGTCACCATGTTGCAGCGCCAGGTTTCTACAGTAGCCCAAAATGGGAAAAACATTTCTGTCAGTGTAGACCACTCATAACGATGTATACATACGTTTGAAAACGAAGAAGAACTAATAACA